GCCCACATTAGCGGCCATAAGCGTGGACAGACTTCTCACCCTGTTGTTGGGGCTGAGACAAAACAAATTGTAACTTTTTAAACGCACATGTATAATTGTGGCTACCTTTTTGGTTTTTTCTCTTGTCGCGGCCTGCCTATACACCATATTTGATCATCGAATACCGTAGTTGAGCACCGGCACATATACCACTTTGCCTGATTATTTCAGTGGCCTCGTACACAAAGATTTTTTGCACTCTCAGGTATCATCAGACTCAAGTACATGATCATGCTCAACAACCACCAAGCCAACCAAATGCACTGAACATGGCGCGATACAAAAAGGCAGTGTACAGTGCATTGTGGTTACAGTTGACATTTATTGTTTGTTATGCGCCATACTTCATAGTCGAAACGGTGATCGTTTTTAGTTAAACATATTCACTACAATTAATTGTCCTAAGAAGAGTAACAATTGCCTCAGTTTACCTTAATTCAACGTTAAATCCGTTTCTTTACTACTAGAAGATCAGTGAAGTAAGACAAGCAGTAAAGCAGACAATCAGACAAGCACTTTACGGTCCATGGAGTTAGATCGCTTGTAGCAACGCTCGAATGAATATTTTCAAAGCTGAGTCATACAGTCACGATTATTACCTGCCGTAGAGAACGCCTGTCCGATATGTTATTGGATAGGAAGAAATAAGAGACTTAAGTTGGATGTTCGGACATTGCCTACAACACTTATGAATTTTAGAGATGTAAAATACTCACGGTGAACAATGTGTATAGTAAAACAGATCATTACCAGTTCTTATAGCCAGTTTTTTTACTGGATCTTTTTATTTTTCAGAAATTGAAAATAACGACTTATCGTCTTCGCTTAACTATAGATGAATTTCTACCTGAGGAGAAGAGGGAGTTTCAGATAAGTTGTAAAGTAATTAGTCTACCATAGATGTCTGTGCGTTTGACTGTTTATGCTAATTATCTCTAAATTATCTCTAAATTATCGGCACAAAGGAACGACAGTTAGCTCAATGTACTGGTCCTTTTGTCTCTCAAAAGAATGACAAAGATAGTTTCCTTATCATATCGTCAAACAAAAATGTAGCCAGCCGATGTCTTCCTGTTTGCCTGAAGGGAATTAAATGTCAGTGCTAATTTGAAGAAACAGCTACAGAGAATACGAAAAATATAGAATTATGTCGACAACGAACTTCACTAGGGGTGAAACACAGACCAAACCAATTGTAGAACTGCTATGGTGTCCCTCTTTGGTGAGCTTCAAAAACTTGGATCGGCATTTCCTTTCGCAGCGGTCGATATTGAAGGTATTGTATCCACGAGTTGTTCACAGTTTCCTTTGATTCTTCTACTGAGAGATGAACAACAGCCAGGGGATAAGAGAGGTTACCATATTCACAGTTTTCCTTTGAAATTTAAGGTCGAAGAGAAGGGTCTCCTCTGATCCCTCTGGTATGAAAAATATATTTGGTGAAGTTTCCATATTTTGTCTGTGAACTGACTAAATCATGACATATTATAACCTGTGGCGAGAGCGAAATCCTTAAGCTTCATTATTGCAATGTGATCGACTAAGACCACACGTTGCTGTGTAGACTGGTGGTCTAGCCAAAAATCAGTTTTGGCTCGGGGTGACGCAAATAGTAGAGAATTGGAGAACAAAAAAGCTATGTTTGAAACATATATCCTAAACCAATTTCATGGGAAAAAGTATTTTTCTCGAAGGGAAGTGGAGAGGATCGCTCTCAGGGAAAGCGGCACTTAACAACTGTTCACTGAAGTGGAGATGGCTATGTCGCTAGCCACCAATAATAACACTAAGAGAATAGTTGTTTAGGAATATACTAAACACTGATAAAAGATGATTTGAACTCAATTAAATCTGCAACCATTGCAATATTACCTGGTGCAAATCTCGCGCGAAAACGCGCGGTGATAAATAGCAAAGGATATTCCAAGTTTTACTAGCCAATTAGAGCGCGCCTTTATGGCTATACACTGTTTTTAGTTGGTATATATTTAGTAAAGTCTACCCTGTAGTGGAACGATATAGGGAATTTTAAGGAATTCGATAAGCCGCTATTAGTGAGAAATGGGTTCCTCCCACAGATAATGGTAAGTGCAAAACGCAGACATGCAATAAGCGTGGCCATAACGCATGGCCAGACTTCTCGCCCTATTGTTGGGGCTGAGATACAGACGAATTGTGACTTTAAAAAGGACATACATCAATGTAGTTTTATTTTAGGTTCTATCCAGTGTCACTGGCTTTATGCTACAATTTAGATTGCCGTATAACCCAGCCCATGGGAAGGAATATTTCTATCGTGCATGATGTTGGAAAATAAAAATTTTAGATCGACGGAGGGGCCTTTTAGAGTATATAGACGGAGGGATATGTCAAAGCATTACCTGTTCCAAAGAAATTGTTAAGAAGTTACATTTAATAAAGGATAATTTCACGAACTGCCATATGGTAAGAAATTGACTTCTGTTGTGACAAAATAGACATTAGTAATCACATTTTTAAAGAGTGAACGTTACTGAGGAAGTTTCTGTGTAAATGTTATTGAGAAAGTGAAGTTTAGGCGATCGTGGCCTGGCAGGTGCTGTGAAGACAAAAATAAATCTCACTACATACAGTTACAAATAATCAGGCGAAAAAACGAAACAAATGTTTATAAGTTACGAAGTGATGGGGAATATGATTAATCTGATGAAAGAGAATTTTAGGCGATCAAGGCAAGGAGGGGCTCCCAAGACTAATTGTTTCAATTGCAATCACATTTGACTTGAGGTAAAAAACAGTGAAGATCTAACCGGTGGTAAAGGAAGAGCACAGACATTATGGTAATTCACAAACTTTTCTTGTATTCTCCCAACATACTGCGGGGTTTACTAGCCGGTCAACCGATAGAAAGTGCGGTTTACTCATTGTACTCTCACATTTACTCATCTTGGCAATATCAATGGACTGGTTCAAATTTTAAAAAGTTATTTAGAAGAGTTGTTAGAGGTGTTTTGCACTCGATGAAACAATTTCCCCTCTTTTCCTCAGCTAATTAAAAGAAAGCGCTTAGCGTTGACGCCATATTGCCGCACAAGCTGGTTCAGTTTTAGTCTCGAATTTCTTTGGTTATTTGTCCAATATGTCTATAAATATATATGTGAAGATGGATACAGATACTTGCATCTGTATAGAAATAGTGGAATGAAAATGAAAAAGGGTAGAAATGGTAAAAAGGGGCATCTAACGAGGAGGAAATAAATATTTTGGTTAAATACTTGGGCCCTAGCTGTTGCGACGCAGTTATTTCTGAGCCCTCTTAGTTATTTCTCAGCGCACTAACCTCATGGTTAGTTCATGCCCCGGCCGGGACATTTTGTTGTGTTCTTAGGCAAGACACTTTACTCTCACAGTGCCTATCTTCACCCAGGTGTATAAATGGGTACCGGCAAATTTAATGCTGGGGGTAACCCTGTGATGGACTGGCATCCCATCCAGGGGGAGTAGAAATACTCCTAGTCGCTTCATGCTACAGAAACCGGAGTTAAGCACCGGCCTAATGGGCCACTAGGCTCGTAAACAGACTTTACCTTAATTTTCGTAGCGCCCTCAAACTACCTATTCCCTCCAAAATCCGCCCATAGAGTTAGATTCCTCAGTTTCTACACTCGAATGAATATTTTAAAAGCTGAGTCATACAGTAACGATAATTACCAGCCATAGAGAGCGCTACTCAGATACCGTATTTATTCGATTAAGCGCCCAACCTCGACGAAGAACCCACTCTGAAAGTAGAAAAAGCTAATACGCGCCCAGCCTCGAATAAGTACTCACCCCCACCACCCCACCCCCAAAGAGTACTTTTTTAAGCGCCCAACGTCCTTACTAATTGTAATGAACACTAAATAGAAATGGAATTGGCATATGTGTTACAAAAAAGACATTTACAGGGGCATTTTTACAGAGCAAGCGCGCATAGGAGGAAGTCCTTTGGTAAATCTTGCTGATGAAGTTAGAATCAAATAACCTTGCAGCGAGTTTTGATAAATCGCAAATATACATCCATGCATTGATTTCCGACCGCAATTGATAAATTGCTTTGTTCAGTTCAGCTTTAGGATGTTCCGATAACAGGAAATTTGTCAATCGCACCAGATAATGGAAACAACAATCTTTCAATTACCTACAGCTTGCTCGATACTTAAACATTTTTTCCTTATCTCGTTAAACAAGTAGATGAAGGGTGTAATAGGCAAAATGTTGCCAGTTATTGTTAAAAAATCACTATGCATTTCCTGGAGAAAGAAATAGTGCAGGCAGAGAGTGAAATACAAAAATAATGTTTGGAGGAATAACATCTTGTTACGGTTGTTTTTTAATGTTAGTCCGGGGATGCAAATTAAAGGGATTGAAAATTGCTGCAAAATTATATTTCATTTCAAATTTAATTAAAATTTTTTAAAATACGTTCGCAATTGTAACCAAAACTTACATTTGGAGATTGTGTTGGATCCAATGTTTTCCCGGCTAGACCAAGTAAATTCGCCATCTTGAACTTTTTATTTCCAAGAGTTTTCATGATTGATAGTGATGTAAGTCTTAACTTCATATGGATATCATAGACGCTTGATCAGCACAATATCAATGAAAATTCATTTAGGTTGAGCGGCTTGATTTTCGCCCTTTAAAATTCATTTAGGTTGAGCGGCTTGATTTTCGCCCTTTAAAATTCATTTAGGTTGAGCGGCTTGATTTTCGCCCTTTAAAATGGCGATGTCACATAGGTCTCTCTATTTAGCTCTTATCGCTATTTCATGTCTGAGTTGCTTAAAGAGTTTAAGGGAAAAATCACAACAGATATTGTCGCAGTTTATGTGATAGAAATATTTAACATAAAACTCCGAAAAAAATGCATGGATATGAAAGAAAACTAGAACAACCGGGGAAGAGCAATTTTATTTCACGTCCTTAGGTAAACTCTGACAGTTAATATATGCAAGTATCAAAACATATTCAAATATTTAAAGACACTATGTTTAAGGGGAAAAACTATCGTATTGCATGAAAAATGTTGTCGACTCTTGAGAATATTTATTAATACATCGAGTTTGACGTTGATTTATGTTTAAGTTGACCTCAAGTTTTAATGATTCTGTGTCTACCAGTCCGGAGCCATGAACTGTTCCTAATTTTCGCTTGTTTTTGCTTTTAGGTGTCGTTGTTACAAAGCTTTCATGAAATATATAATGAACCACTCCCCACAATGCAGAGAAAAATTTTCTCCTCTAAATCACCGCCTAAAGGTCTGACAGTTACCTGAACAAAAACGACTTCTTTTGCCACTCGATAGACAGACGGAGAATTCCCGTATCATATCGTCAAACAAAAATTAAGCCGGCCAATATCTTCCTGGTTGCCTAGGGAATCATATATATGACATTGGTAATTTGAATAAACAGCTACAAAGAAAAGGAAAAATATCGAATTACGTCAACAACAAATTTCACTAGGGGTGAAACACAGACCAAAACAATTCTAGAACTGCTAGGCTCCCCCTCTTTAGTGAGTTTCAACAACTTGGATCAGCAATTCCTTTCGCAGTGGTCAATATTAAAGGTAATGTATCGAGTACTTTTTCACAGTTCGATTTCCCCACTGAGAGATGACCAACAGCCAAGTGATTAGAGAGGTTACAAAGAAAAGAAGCGTCTCCTCCGATTACCTTGGTATGAAAAATATCTTTGGTGAAGTTTCCATATTTTTGTCTGTGAACTGACGAAATACAGATCGTAACTTGTAGCTGGAGTGAATTCCGTGAACTTCTTTATTGAAGTGTGATCGACCTAGACAACCCGTCGCTGTGCAGACAGGTGATCTAGCCGAATATCAATTTTGGCATGTGGCGACGCAAATAAAAGAGAAAAGGAGATCAACAAAACCATGTTTGAAACATGCTTGAAACATGTTTGAAACAGCTAGATAAACAGGAACCTGTGACCTAGAAAAATTTTAGATGATAAACATCCTGCCTAACCAATTATCGTGGATAATTGGCAGGAACATTTTCCCCACTGCACAAAATATTTCTATCGTTCATGGTGCCTAAAACAAAAGCTTGGGATCTCTAGAGGGAATAATTAGTTAAATAATTACCTGTTACAAGTAAACACGTGTGTATTCGCATTTTGAAGGAGTGAACGTTACTGTGGAAGTTTCTGTCTAAATGTTATTAAGAAAGTGAGGTAGACGTGATCGTTGCCTGGCAGGTGCTGTCAATAAAAAAATCTCTCTCGTTTCGTAATTAAAAATAACCCTGAGAAAAAGCGACGCAACTGAATGCTTATCAGCGAAATGATGGAGGATATTCCCTAGCTTAAATATTTTCTCTTCTCTCAAGAAGAGCGATTGTCCTGGTTTAAATTTCATTTAACATATCCTTGTCAGATAAGGGTAAGTAACATTGTTGCTCCATCGCTTGCTTGAAATTGATTTGCGAAACCAGAAAAAAGGAAAAAAGTACAAGAAAAGGAGGCCTATAGGTTAAACCAAAACATATGTAGAAAATCGATAAAATTCAATTCACGCATAATTTGCATCCCCTGATTCGAAGGTGGAACTTAGTCCAGTTTTGGAAAATGAAATGTAAGTTACGCAGTGATAACAATGTCTATCCATTTCTACAAAATGAATGCTTTCGGAGAAAACATAAACAACAACTATCGTATTGCAAGTACTTTGAAGAAGTCATTTATAGCATTCAAGCATTTGTTATTACCACTGAAGCTCACAAACTTCAAATGATAAACTAAGTCGGTGTTTCTCTCATGTCGCCGACTTCGCCGAAGAGCGAAATTTCTATGAATTTAAAGCCGTATGCAAAACCCCAGAAAAATAACCCTACAAACGGTAAGTTTATCATTTCTACTTCTCATATGTCAAATGTTAAAAGTTTATTTCCCTTGCCACATTGAAAATATTTTTTGAAGCTACCCTACTTTTCACACGGTACTTAAGTAAATAAATACAAAAACTCTTATTTTATTTCAAACTGAAATCGTGATTCTACCTTTTAGTGAAAACATAGGGAAGACATTGTTCTAAAAGTCCTTGTAATAAGTAAGTTTTTTATTGCTTTTACAAGTACAAACGAGGCCTCCAAAAATGCATATGGCCTAAATTCGACCTTCGAGTGAAGTTAATTATGCAGGAATTGCCGAATTTTATCAATTTTCTCGAAAACAAGGAATTTTTCAACGAACTACATACGTCTTGGCTTGTTTTACCAATAGGCCTACCGAATACTAGAATATGATCTAATTCAATTTTTTGGCTGTTTCTGGAGATTTATGAATTTGTCTGACTTTTAGTGACATCTAACAACTATTCACTGAAGTGGAGGCTGCCAGGTCGCTAGCCACCGAAAATGAAAAAGAGGAAAAATGGTAAACAGTGACATCTAACGAAGAGGAAATAAATATTCTGGTGCAGGATGAAACTCTGGTTTCAAAATGAGGCCACGTGCCAGGGCCTATCCGTTTCAACACAATTATTTCTCAGCCTCCTTAATTTTCGTAGCGCCCCCAAACTGCTTGTGCCCTCCTAAATCTTCCCGTTAGGCACTCTTATACAATAATGCCTGGGTCGCGCACGTTATCCCGCGGCTTAGTACCTTGTATAATTATATAGCGTGGGCAAGATGAAGCGACTCCTGTGTTCTGATTGGCTACCCGAACGGGCAAGATCGGCCCATCTTGCTCGCTCTAGACTGCCCGCTTTAAATGAGCCTCTGAGGTACTGAAATTTCACTTTACAAATCGAGATATAAAATGCTAACTGCGGCCCGCATTTGATTGGCTAGTAGTTAAGCTGCAGTCGTTGCTCGGAATAATCAAAGAGAATTTGATAGAAAATCTCCAGAAATTGTAAGAACTCCCGTACAAAATTTAAAAAATATTGCTTCATCTTTTAGGTCATGACATCACTCGTTTCGCGTGTCTTACAGCTATTTTGACCCCCCTCCCTCATGAATGAGTGATATAAGGGGATATAACGTTGAGTTAAGAACATTTTGTTTATTTTCAACTTGCTGAGACTGATAATGATTAGTGTTTAAGCTTCACACGGATGATATGGACAAATGATTAGCTCACTATCAACTGAAGTTCATTTCCTCGAGGAATTTTTATCGCACAGTAAAAAAAAAAATTAAATTTCTCTACATTTGCCAAATATTTCTATTTCATACGTTAGGCACCTGACAACTTCACAACAGACAATTTTCTGACGCCTGCTAATTGAGGAAAAGGTGACGATGGAGGAAATTTTTTTGTGATTAGTGTCAAGGAAGTTCGGTTTCAGCAATCGTGGCTGGGTGTGTGCCTTTTTAGACAAAATATTTCTCGTTGCAATTACAAATAACCAGCAGGAAAAAGGAATCGAACACAGAATAATGTCGACTACAAACTTCACAAGGGGTGGAACACAGACGGAAGCATTTCAACGACTAATATGCTCCTCCTCGGGCTCTTTGGTGAGTGAGTCTCATCTAGAATTGGTTTCTTTCGCAACAGTTAACATTCTCCTCTCCATCACAGCGTTTCTTGGAAATTCTCTCATCCTTGTTGCCCTTCACAAGGAATCTTCCCTTCATCGACCGTCCAAACTCTTGTATCGCAGTCTGGCAACAACTGATCTGTTGGTTGGTCTTATTATCCAGCCTCTCATTGTAACTTTTGTGATATCTTTGGTTCAAGAACACTGGGTTATTTGTCAATATGCAAATACTGCGGCCTACATTTCAAGCATAGCATTATGTGGAGTTTCTTTGTTGACAATAGCGGCCATTAGCGTGGACAGACTTCTCGCCCTGTTGTTGCGGCTGAGATATAGACAGATTGTAACTTTTAAGCGCACATGTATAATTGTGGCTTCCTTTTGGGTTTTTTCTCTTGTCGCGGCTTGCTTATACACCATATTTGATCACCGAATACTGTATCTGAGCACCGGCATAATAATACCACTTTGTCTGATTATTTCAATGGCCTCGCACATAAAGATTTTTTGCACTCTCAGGTATCATCAGACTAAAGTACATGATCATGTTCAACAACACCTGAGTCAACCAAATGCACTGAACATGGCCCGATACAAAAAGGCAGTGTACAGTGCACTGTGGGTGCAGTTGGCATTTATTGTTTGTTATACGCCATACTTCATAGTGGAAACGGTGATCGGTCTTAGTAAAACATTTTCATCACAATTAATTATTCTAAGAAGAGTTACAATCCTCTCAGTTTACGTTAACTCGACGTTAAATCCGTTTCTTTACCTCTGGAAGATTAGTGAAGTAAGACAAGCAGTAAAGCAGACAATCAGACAAGCACTTTGTTGTCCATGGAGTTAGATCGCTCGTAATTACACTCGAATCGGAATATTTTCAAAGCAGAGTCATGCAGTGACGATTATTACCAGCCGTAGAGAAC